GGCTTCGTTGTTTCACGGATTATTTTTTTTGTGCAGTTTTTTTAATGCTTTTAAACAGTGAATTGCGTTCTGCATCCTGATTGGCTAAGGCACTGACTGACGTGAACAGTCCAACCTCGCACTGACTATTAAAAATATTATTTTAGTGTACAGTATTTCCAAAAACTATTCTCGTTATTTGTTGAAAACGCTTTTTTTTTCTTTTTTTTTTGTGCTTGGGCCTGAAAACAGGTTTTGGTCTTTGATTTCATTGTATACATAGTTCAGTATTGTATAATAACTGTAAAAAATAAAGCTCACTACTTCACGGATTTCACCTATCACTGGTTGTTTTTGGAACGTAACCCCCGCGATAAACAAGGGATTACTGTATTGGAGAAATACTGAAGAACAAAGTTGAATTCATTGATTAGAAAAGCAACAATGTGGCAATTATTATTGTTGATTCCTGTCCTCTGAAACACATGCCTATACCCTGTGCAAAGTACACTCAGCCATTTTGATTCAGATGTAGAGGATGGTGGTAATGAACAAATGGTCTGTCATTTACAGTTTAATAAAGACCCTCATCTGCGCTTCGAGAAGAAGGTTATTTTCCGAACACAATAACATTCAATAACAAAGAAAATAATGAAAAGCTCGATAGGATACAGTCCTGCCTTCCATACAACAAATCACATTTTGCTCATTCTTTTTAGCTCTTCCATGCAGGTTTTCTTCCACCACCACTATGTTTATTTCCCCCTTGCCTGTAGCTTAAATATCTTTAATCACTACCCTCACCATAGCAACCTGTTCAGACAGCCAGTCAAATCCCATCACTTACCATTTCTGTGTCACGTACCTTGAGGTGCTGCTATCACAAGCAAAAAAGACAAAACAACACACTTAAAACCTCTTTGGAGTAGAGAAAAGTGAAAAGCAAGTTGCAGCAATGAATTGAAATGCAGGTATTGATCCAAAAAACAATTAAACACCCATTTGTTATCTATTTTGTTATCTATTGTGCTTGTTCTGTGAAGCACTTCAAGTTGCTGGATCCTATTCCAGCTTACAAAACGGTACAAATGTGGGACAGTTGTATTAAGATAGCAAGCATGTTTGTGGAGACTGTGATTGAAGCAGAAGCACCAGTACAGGGACAGAATTGCCTGTGATATGTATGGTACACCCTAAACATCCTTACTGCGAGGCAATGATATAAACCATTCATCATCATCATCAACATCATCATCAAAACTCAAACAAACAAAAAAAAAGGATTCATTATTAAAATCTGAGATTTTTGCATGTTGATTTAAGAAGAGTTTTCTGCACAGATATGTGTGTCAAATGTATTGAAACCAAATCAAAATTAAAGACATAATGCTCTTTAACTCTTCAACCTATTCATGGTTTTTAAAAGTTTTTTTTTTTATTTTTATTTTTTTTATGGTCTTGGTCTTGGCTTGGTGTTATCTCGGTCTCTACTCAAAAATGTCTGATGTAACAAAGGGATCCAGCCAAGCTTTCATTGCCTACTTAAAAGGTGGGTCCATGGAGTGCCTTTTGTTGTTGACAATTATGCTGCTAAATATTAGAAAAAGAACAAAACATGCACTGCAATTACAGACAGTATAAATCAGAATGTGGTCTAATTAGCAAGACTCCGTTTCCCCCTTCCCTGTGCATTACAAAAGTTTTTCACCATGACTTCAGAATATGATGGAATGGTTCTAAATGCGATGTTTCATTTATTTAGTCGTCAGTCTTTCACAATCTCCTCTGGCCACTTTAATCTTGTTTTATTTCCCTATATGCCCCGGCCCCCATCCACATCCATTGATGCACCTCTTGCATATTACCTTGTTCCTCGCCTCCTGATTGTTGCCATTACATTCTTACTGGCCATATGTCCTGGAGGGCATGAGGAAAGAGTTTTAATTAGGTGAGCAAAATGAATGTACCCCCTGGAGGTATTGAGACACTTTATGCCTGTGATGATCAGGGGCAGAACTTCAGTTCCTCTGTTGGTTCTGGCATTGTGTATCCAAATCCATGGGTCATTGTTTTTGTTTTTTTTTGTGTGGAGTAGATATCCATTCACAGCCAAGGTCTGTCCCACAGCGTGCACCAGCCCCACTGGTGAATGTCAATTTGGACACATTCAAACTTGCTTGTTGTATTTTTGGGGGTTTCATCTGCATTTTACAGCTTGTACTTTTATTCAAGTCAAAGATCACCACACCATTTATCATCCTTTGGTTATATAATCGGTATGAAAAACTCATTGGGAGGGAACATTTACACTGTGACTCACAGGGCTCTTTTATTGGATGGTCTCTTTATTAGCATTAGGGTACAGCTGTATCAATCATAGGCTATGTTCAGATGCAGGTCCTAATGGTCAACTCAGATTTTTTTTTTTTGAGTTAGTAGTTTAAATCCTACTGTGGGGCACAATCATGAATTACATTAAAATGTGACAAGGCTCACGGGTCAGCTGGAGCCTATCCTGGCTCAATTTGGGGACGATAAACTGGTCTACCCAATTACAGGGTACATGTAGGCAAACATTTACTCACATGCACATTCACACCTATAGTCAATTTAGTGTCTTACATTAATCCAAGACATGTTTTTAATAAAGTTGGATGAAGTCAGATTACATGGAGAAAAACGAAGCCTGCCCCTCCAACTTCAGACCAGAAAGATGAATGTTCGACCACTGACCATCTGTGTTGTTTTTCTTCATTTTTGTCTATTGGCTCATCTTCATTATTATTATTATTATTATCACTGTACATATTTTAAGCTCTGACTGTAAAACTGATGAGTCAACAGATTCTATTCCAATTTATATGGTAAGTGTTTAGCCTTTTCCCACCACACGTAATATTTGAAAAATACTGAAGAAGAAAGTCAAGATTACTGATTAGAAAAGTGACAATGTGGCAATGTCAGGGCACCACCTCAAAGCACTTATGAAGCAGCCAATCAGATTTTTCTGATGTCCTTGTTTCCTCTCGGTCAATGTGCAGCATTCAAGAAAACTGCTAAGTACGACATATCCGAAGATCGGTTTACCTTCATAAGGCTTGATAACATCGCTAATCGTTTTGTGGATGCCTCCATCATTTTATATCTTTGTTTTATATTTGACTTCACTCATAGTGTATGGAGCAATGGATGGCACCATTCTTGTGTAACATCAAACAACATGGTTTACCCCGGATGGTGGACTCAATAGCAAAACTCAGGTTCAAAAGAAACTTTCATTGAGTCAGTACAAGAAATGTTCAAAATAACCTAACCTACTGCAGATGGTGAACACAGATTACTCATCAAGTAAGGGGAATGAGAATATATTCTATACGAACATGACCCTGTCAGTGAAGTCTGGATGTGTCCAGACTTCTAAAACAGAAATTCTGACTTTGACTGTCATTTCCAGAGGTGCACATATTGGTCTGGTTCTCAAAGGAGTACAAGAGGTGATTGCTAGGTTCTCATTTTTTTTCCCCGTCTCACTGACCTCACTAGATGAACTTTTTCGTACCCATTGCAAGTCTGGCGTGAGGCGCAGTCTAAATTGGAGCAAGAGCGGATCAGGCGAAATTTTGGTATAATCACGAACCCGTGCAAATAGGCTCACTAAAAAAAAATGTTTTGAACTCTTATGAACATGAGTACAGCCAAATGATTTGCATGTGTCCTGCGGCATGTTGAGGTGTGCAAAGTACATTTATAAGGAATTGGAGGCAGACCTTCACATGCGGATGACATAAAGCTAGCGAGAGAGATCACAGATCATCCACCCCAATTGCACATCTTCCTTTTTCTTCTGCGGTCAACTTCTGCAGCAGTAGACATGTCCACACACCTGGTTGCGCCTGTTGCGAGTTCCTTTGACGTGGCTCTGTTCCAGACACAAGATGGGTTCAGAATAGAGCAGCTCTCATTATCGCTATTCACAATGCCCATCAAAACATGGAAAAACACAATCTGTCGAAGTCTATGGACCGAATCTCATATGTCTTTATCATTTCATAACCTAGCCCTAGAAGACATATTTTGACACAATGGAAGCCAGCTGCCAATGAAAACCACCCTCTTGTCGGTGTCCTCATCACTCAGCCACTGCTACTGATGAGCACACCCTCTCAGCTGAGGTGAAATATATTGACAAATGCGTACATGTACAGAGTTCATAGTTCATCAAATTCGATTATTAAATAGTAGTTTAAGGTCATTCGTGACTGACAACACTAATCAAGCATCATATGTCGCTCTGCTCTAAAAAATACAATTTTACAAAACAAACAAAAAATATGCGATGTGCAAATATGCACTGACATTTTTTAAATTTTGTGCACAGTAATAATTTTCTGCCCTTGCACACCGGAACAAAACTTACTGTATTTTCCACACTATAAGACTCTGGAAGTATAAGACGCACTTTCACTGAATGGCCTATTTTAAAACTTTTTTTTTTTCATATATAAGCCGCACCGCATTTTAAAGCTCATAGAATAGAAGCGGCGATAGAGGCTGGGGTTGCATTATGCATCCACTAGATGGAGCTACGCTAAGGGGAATACAATACCATAGAACATAGCTTAATTTATATCGAGCTTTCACAACCGCTGCATCTGTAACAGAGCGCATTCAGAACATTTCAAATACTACGTCCAAGAAAACAGAATATTGATCCATATATAAGGTGCATCGGGTTATAAGGCGTACGTCGGATTTTGTGAGAACATTGAATGTTTGCAAACAACTTTCGATAATTGATTAGAGAATGGGCAATTCCAAAATCAATGAAAAACCTTGAGTGTGACGTCTTGAATGCCCACCAGACTGGCCTTGATCAGCAGAACCTATACCCACCTCCAAGACCCGAATCCAGAATTCATCCCATGGAGAGGTGTGTATGTGTGTAATACTTCGAATAGTGATTTGTTGGGCTTTGTGAATGTAGTCTTTTGAGTCATCCGATTGCCTTGTATGCATTTTCTTTTTTTTTAATAAACTCTTTTTTAAAATATATACTGTATCTCTTCTTGCTTTGCCTCCCTGCTTATCCATATTTGTGTTATCCTCCTTTTGCCTCAACGTTTCCCGGCACAAGCCCGGTACTTACTCATATGGCACTTAAAAATGATTGTTTAATGGCAAACAATATTCTTCGACATAATGTCAGCATTCATACACAATCTCCCAGTCATTCATTAAAGCCTTCTTATATAGTCTCTGCTTGTTATGATTTATTGTGAGCAGCTACTACAAATAGATCTTCAGCAAAAGGTCAAGAAGAACGATCCTCGGTTTCCCTGATGAGAATGCTTTTTTTTTTAAATTTTTTTATCCAGGCTTTTGATTTTCCCACACTATCAAAATGTTTCTATTTGTGATTTGTTCTCTTCCAACCACCATTTTTTCCCCCCCGCATATAGCGAGCCAATCCATGTCCAGCTGCTGTTTCAACCTCAATGCCTTTCCATTATTCACTTTTTTTCCCCCCTTCAAATCCAAGCTTGTGCAAGATGCCTCATCTGCACCCTCTGCAGTTTGTCCTCGTTATTTATCAAAGGAATTGTTTCCGTGCATCGGGAGTCCTCAACCATTATTGTAATTGTTTTTGGTAAGCGGTAATGTATCTTGGAGGTTGCAGTCACTGGCTCTAATTCAACACGCTCTCCAATGACAGCGACTCTACAGAATACAGCTATAAACGACACATCCCAGAATGCAGCTCGAAATTACACAAAGATGGCATCAAGCCACTGGGGATAGTATTTCAATATAAATTGGCCCTATTGGCAATTATTTGTGCATTTTAAATATTTCCAACAGGCACACATAAACAAACACACAATATGCACATCATAGCAGGCGCTCTCCATTGGATGTGGATGAAGACAGATGAGTGGTGATCACTCATTAGAGCTGTGATGAGCTCCTGTGAAGACATACACCTGGACCATAGCACACGTGGGAACTGGGGGAGACAAAAAGAGCCTTCTGTGACAGAGGCAGTGCAAGATAAGCATGACACAAAATATTTCTTATCAACTATATAACCGGCAGATTTTTTGCACCTTGGGAAAATTTGTCAACTCGAACAACAGGATTATCTGTGAACAATTCTGGCTGGACAAATGTCTTTAACACATTCCGCAAAAGTGGATGTGTGCTTTCTGTGTGTGGATGTTTGTTTGACAGAGATATAGTGTATGGGGATAATATGTCTTTTGAAACCGTCTGCAGCAATGCTGAACTTATTAATTGAAACAAACTCACAGGTCAGCCATAGATTAACTGCACCGCTTAAAATCCCACCAGAGTAGAGAGACAACAATTTTTTTTTCAGATATGATACATTTGTCAAAAGGATGTTGTAAGAATTCACATTGTTGGCTCTATACTGCTTGCTCAAACATTCACATATTCATATTTGCTGCATTACAGCTGGTAGAAATAATAAGGCAGCATTTAAATAGTGTGTGTGTGTGTGTGTGTGTGTGTGTGTGTGTGCGTGCGTGCGTGCGTGCGTGCGTGCGTGCGTGCGTGCGTGCGTGTCAAACAACAAACACGTAACATAAATGTTCTCTTATCTCCCGTGGGAAACTTGTCAAGCTGTCAGACATATGCGTGCAAATGTTTACACTTTCGATTTATTGTGTTTATTCACGAAAGTCACGTTTTTCCGCTTTAATCACATAATTTGATAACAATTTAGAAGGCTAGACTTGAAATGAAATACACAACACGGTGGATGTTCGTTATTGCGGGCGTAAAACACTAATTTGCGCACGTTTTACTCACAGCATTTGATTGTGATCATTTCTAGCAATAAAATAAAAATGTAATCATGCTGTGAGTCCACAAAACACGCTTGGGGGAGTGTGTGTGTGCGTGTGTGTGTGGAAGAGATTGATTGGAGTGAGCCAGAAAAACTGACCGAAATCATTTGTTGATTGACAGATGCTGTCATCCAGCGCCATTATCTTTCTGTCTCCGAACCTTGCCAGTTGCTAATTTAATCTCATCTCTGATAGAATGTAATTTTATTAAAAATGGGCCCCTTATTAATATCAGAATCATTTTCAGCCTCTGATGGGTAGAGAAACTTTCATTACAGAGAGAAATTGCGGCAGAAAGATGGCTCTGAAATGGGAGAAAATGAATGTGATTGGACAAAGATGTATGAGAGCATAGATGCAATAACAGACCTCATTAGCTTCAATCAGTAACCTGAATAAAGGTGGGGGTGGGCATCATGCACACATACAGGTATGCACACACTCATGCACTCTGTCTTAACATATATGGTGCGTGGATAAGACGCATGTACACATACACATTCCATACACACACACACACACACACACATGATTTAAATCCTGCCTTATTATTTCGACCAGCTCTACCACTCGTGCTGTCATTGGTTGACGTCGCGCCTGTACAAAACCTTTTTTTCCTGAATACAGTACTTTGGGGAAAAAATACGATGTACTGAAACTGCGATAAATGAAGCGTGATATAGCGAGGGATCACTGTATGTGAAATGCCACACATCGGCTTCTTTCGTAACAATGCGTGCGGGTGAGAATACTTGGAAGGGAGACTATACAGATAATTGTCTGAGAATTTGTTTTTAGGAAAAGTTTGATAACACTCTGCAGTGTGAATGTAGCTATAGTTATATAGTGTTTTGGGGGGTTGTGGGGGGTACATGTTGTTGTCAATAACATTATGCCGTTAATAAAAGGTGAATTAGATCACAAAATGCCCACCGAAGGAAAATCCCCCCAATTCTTGAGGCTAATTTCATCTGACCCAAGTCCCCATACCACCCCCATTTTCTAGTCCTCAGCCTTTTTCACTACTCCAGCTCCTCTTCTTGTCTCTGTTGCTGCTTCTGAGCTGCTTTTAGAAAGCAGCCTTCTAAGTAAAATGTCACCACATGCATAATGCAAGATAGCATTTATGCTTCCAGCAGCTACCAGTCTAGCTTCTTTGAAAGTTTTTGATTGTGTCTTTAAATGTGGAATCATAGCAAAACAGTGGGGAATGTGTACAACAGTTCCTAACTATTGGATAACCCAAAAAATATTTTCTTACTTCGTCTTCTGACTTCAGAAAGTGTCCTGACAGTCTGCAGTCTTTTCTCAAACTACTTAGGTTTGATTTTTTCCCCACTTTGCTGTTTTAATAGATCACTGGAAACTATGTATCTACTTGCACTAAGTACTGATTGGATAAAATGAACAAACACCGAGAATCTACCCGTACATGGGTACTATGTTGCTTCTTTGGAATAACTATTAAGTACATTCAATACATTTTCTTGCTCTACAAAATGGGAACTGCTTTTAGTTGCATTGCAGATAAGCCTTTCCACATAGCGTTACAAATACTGTTGCGTACCCCGTGTCTGCACCTTCCTTTCTTTCACTCATTCACACACCCCTCCATATCGCTCCATGAACAATACAATTGTGCTCCAGGACACCCAACTACTTTTGTCTTATCCAGCCTTTTGGCATAAAGAGTTTGGCAGATCAGTTCTGCTATGTGACCTTTGGAGGTGGCCTTCAATCTCAAGGCTTGACAGTGGGATGCAGAGCTTAGAGAGATTTACTGGGGTCATCCACAGGAGTGAAGAGAGATTTTTTTTCCCTGTGCATTTTTTTAGGCAAACGCAGGTGGTGTGAGAAAGGATTCTTTTGAAACAGAGGCACTTGGACTGCTGGAGTAGGTGAGAAGCACATGAAGGGAAAATAATTGCCAGCAGAACGGACGAGAAGTGCTTGATTATTGGTGAGCCATCAGCTAAAACTTAAATGTCACTCAGTGGATTGCGGCTCTTTGCCAATTGGTGCATCACAGCTTTTTTCATTTGCTCGCCCCACTTCGACTTAAGGTTACCGGACTATTACAACGAAAAAAAAAATCTTCTGAGAGCTTGTTTTTTTTTTTGGGGGGGGGGGGGGGTAACAACATTTGTGGGGTCAATAAAATACATTGCATATATCTGACCACCCCTTTTTTTGATTTGAATTTAGGTGTCATCCATCCATGTTAAGGCACACCATCAACTTCATCCCTCTGTCATATTTTTACATGCAGTACACATGATATGGCGTATTCTTGCTGTCAATGAAATGAAGGGCTTTCAAGTTTTACATTGTGTTTAGAGGCATTAGTTGAAGTCAACGAAAGTTTTGAGGGGAAATTGTTAGTGTACAGTATGTGATGTGGTACCATAAGTAGTAAATGTGTGTGCGTGTGTAACCTGTTCAATGCGGGGTCCCCTTGCAGGTGTCTTTTAATTTTGCTCCCATTTGCATATATGCAATCAGGTTGAGTAATTGGGGGGATGCGAGTTAGCATGGGGAGGCATGCACACTGTGGGTGTTAGTCTGTCCCAGGTTGCAAGAAATTTGCAGCCGACGAGCTGATGAGGCTGATAATTGTGACACTGAGTGATGGCTCTAATCAGCAAAGGAATCTTCCTAATCAATCGACTTTAACCACCCTCCACCCATGTCTCCATCTCCCAGGCTTCAAAACAACTTTGTCCCCACATGAAAGACATCCACATGCAAAGTGAGCATGGATTGCTTGAATCATTGACCTTGACAGACTGCTGTTTAAAGCATGGTGATAAGAACCGCAAGGGGAGAAATAAATTGTCAACATGAAACTAGATAAATATGTGATGCCTGTCAACTAAGCTGAGCCTTTAAAATAATAGAACATGGCAGGTTAGTTGTAATATTATAATTTTAATACTCATACTGCATTACTATGTTCACTCGTCAATACGGATAAATGTATCTCCTTGACTTGTCACCTTATTGTGGTGGAAGGCTTTGCATGCCTCAGTTATCCTAGGGGATCAGTTGTACTGGAATTCCTGTGCGGACCGCTCCAGCAGTATGGGGGACTTGACCCTTGGACTCAGGCTTGTCGGTCCCTTTACAAACGGTGTCAGACTTTAGCCTGCATTGCTGGAAGTAAGTCGCATTTGTTTCTAGTTAGTGTGACACTCCCATTCCGGTCCCAAAGGTGAGGCATTGAGGGGGACCAGTTTCATACCCCAAGTATGCAAGCATCTATGCTTTCCGAAGACGATATGTTCCTGTTGGCTTTATCGGGTTGTGTTCGCCATCTCTCAATGGAGCAGTTTGCTGGAGAGTGTGAAGCAGCTGAGATGAGAATCATCATATCCATACCCAGGACTGGACTGGCCATCTGGCATACAGGGCAGTTGCCCTGTGGGCTGTCATCTTTTGAGGCTGATGCAGTGCTAGTAAATTATTATTTTCCTCTATCCCCCCCAAGAGACTGGACTACAATTTAGAGCAGGGGTGTCAAACTCAGGTCCTGGAGGGCCGCTGTCCTGCATGTTTTCCAAGTTTCCCTGTTGCAACACACCTGATTCAAATAAACAGGTTCAATGTCAGGCTTCCGCGGAGCTTGCTGATGATCTGATCATATATATATATATATATGGAATCAATGTGTGCGGGTGAGAGTGCTTGGAAGGGGGACTTATAATTCAACCATGCATTGTATTTATTAAAGAAAATGTCGTTAGCACCTTATCAAGCAAAAGTATACCTTTTACATTAATCAGCTTTTCACACTTCCCTATTGACAAATATGTTTTGCTTTCCGTTATATGTTTTGTTGCCATACTAATTCTTTGTTCTAAGTTCAGTAATCGTGATATCCAGTTGAGATGGTTGGTTGGTTAATTGGTTAATACTCTCTTGACTCGGAACAAAAGTGTGTCCAAGAGCGTGTCATTAATCTCTTAAAGTGTAGCTCTAGCTCACGGTGGAGTCATGATGAAAAGGGCATGTGGTTAGAATGACATCTTATTTTGGAGAGAGTGACAGGAATTGTGGATTGTAATGCTTTGGCTGAATCTAATCAAAATGAGAAGGACTTGAGAGGAGGAATGTTGAGAAAACCCATAATTACCAACAACCAAACAAGTGGGCCATCTCGGCATACAGCCACTTAATTGGTAGTTAGCATTTTCTGTGGAAAGGCACAAAAGCACTGACGATAATTTCTTAATGGGGACCATTAAGTCTGAGAACCTGGCATTTAGGCCTCACGCAGAGACAAACACTGACGCACATACAAAGTACACGAAGCACACAAAGTGATTGCATGGAAATCATCTTGTGGTTTAGAAATGTGTCTTTATACTGAGTCTCTCAAACAGCGACACAAAGTTCAAACCTCCACATTTACTGACGCACATGAGATCAAGACATTCGAGGTTCAGAGGTATTTGGAAAACAGCAAAGTTGTCCATCTTTGCCTTTAAAAAAACCCTGATGGAATTGAAATCATTTGCACCTGCCCACATCAATGTGCGAATGGTACGCGCTAACTGGTGTTTACTGATGATGTGACTGCTGACAAATAACAAGAGGAAATCTGAGTTGTATTATATACTCCCTGCCTACAAATATGACAAAATTGTTGGCAGGCAGGTCAGTTTGTAAGGGCAACAACCCTGAAGATACAGCAAAAACATCTCAAGATTTTTCGAAGGCCAATACGTCAGTTGAGTAATCTCAAAGCAATACAAAATGATTTTCACCTCCTGATGACAAAAGTGAAGGCTGCAACAAACATCCATCCATTATCTGAACCGCTTATCCTCACAAGGGTCATGGGCGAGCTGGAGCCTATCCCAGCTAGTAAAGTTTTGGCGTTTCTTTGGAGAAAATAAATCTTTACTTGGGTCTGAAAAGTCGGTAAAACTAACAACAAAGTCAGATGGAAACAATGAGCGGCAGAAACTGTTCAAAGAGAATATGCAATTGGAGTGTCTGATAGCATCACGTGGGGCGCTGTGCCGGCTAGAAGAAGAGATGAAGCAGAAAAGTGATTCAGCTCAATGTTGGCCATTGAAGGCAGCTGAAAACAGATGTAAATGTTTGTTTAACCCGTTTGCATTCATCCACAAGGCAGAGAGAAGCAGAGGGAGGAAACATCATTTTCCAGGACAACTCAAGCTTTTTCTGGCCATTTGACTTTTTTCCCATGTGTTTCCCATGACTGAAAAAATTGGTCGTTCACTTTCCAGGTTTTACCGGACATGCGGGAACCCTGTCAAGCAGTACATATAAATTTCATGAGGTAGAACTCTGAAGTGTTGTTTGTTTTTTTGTTCCTTGTTTTTTTTTACCTGTTGGTGAATGGTTTGCCAGGCTACAGAGAAGTTGAATGTCCTCTAGCTTCATCACTTTATTGCTTCATCCCAGTTTATAGTTGGGCCACGGCACACAGGTGGAGAGAAAATGGCCACCACAGGAGGCAGCTATGTCGTGGAGTCTTATAGAGAGGTTAATGATGTGCGGGCTGTCATTCCCAGAGAGATGGAGATAGGTCATCCACATAGTCTTGTTGACCACACACAGAAAGATGGATGTCAGAGAAGAGAGTGATGCATGTAACGCTGAATGTTTCTGACAAGCCCTGGCAGTCGGGCAACACAAGGGCATGCGGCGTGATAACTAACTGACACATGAATATGTGAGAACACGCCAGAGATGTGCTTTCATTGTAGTGTTCTGTGTGTGTGTGATGGAACATGACCAGTAAAGACCTTACACATGTCTTGCAGCCCCAAAGGCATATGGGCAGTGCACATAATAATTGCTATTTTATAAGGGGATATACGTATCTTCACATTCTTTAGTTTACGTGCATTTGTCTTTGTGTTGACATTTCTCAATATATTTTGAATAAATATTGAAAATATTTATAGTTTTATTTTTCCAAAAATACACTCTCCTCAGTGGCCCGACCATCTTTCAGTCACAGTTAGCTTGCTGTGCATATGTGTGGTGGTCTGCAGAGTGGATGGGACCCAGCTGCAGGAGCTGTCAATCACTTTGCTATGAGATGAGATTGGGATGTTCAGAGGACACAGCACCTATCCGGCTCTGCAGATAAGAGTACTGAAAGGAGATCTATGTGCGGATGTGTCTGCTTGTTTTTGTGTTTTTTTTATTTATCTATGACCCGACTAACTCCAATGGAGGTTGATATTGAGAAAAGTTAATGGAGGTAATCTGTTCATTTTTTTGTCATTAGACAGATGTTCATGGAGTTGTGCCAAAAATTCTGAACCATTTTGTAATTTCTCAGTCTACTTATGATCCTCGACTTTCAAAAAGGCAGACAAAGGGTAATTACAGTTTTTAAAAACACACCACAATGAAGGAAAATCATGTTAAAAAGGCAATCTTGCTTCCTTTGTTAGGTATAGCGGGCTAAACTTATGTAGCAAATTGTCCTACTTTGCAGACTACAGGCCGAGTTAATTATTCCATTCAAGGCATATTCTCCTCTGTGATTAAGTCAGAAAAGGCGTGCTATTGCTCACTTTTTCGGCTGCACAGATTCTCCCATTAACTTAAGTGTCTTACTTACGCACCTTCATGAAGTGTATGCACTCTAAAGTGTAAGGACCCTGACATCCGTTCTGTCACTTTGCGCATTCTCCTGTAAACTTAAGCTTCTTTGGGGCTCTGCACTCCGGAAGTTGCACTAATGTATCACACCTACAGAAGGCAAAACATCATATTGGACGTTTTGAGTCATTTCCCAGCCGCTGACAAGTGATGATTATCACCGACTGATTTGGCTAATCCGTGCTGACACGTGGATGGGACTGTCCCATGTATGTTCACTGACTGTCCAGTGGCTGTACCGCATTTTCCGGAGTATAAGTCGCAGTTTTTTTCATAGTTTGGCCGGGCGTGCGACTTATACTCTGGAGCGACTTATGTGTGAAATGGTGAACACATTGTACACGTCACATGTGATTTTCACATTAAACCGCAAGAGGGTGCTCTCGGCCTGTGTTGATACTTTCCACATTGGCGGTAACTGAGAAAAACAACTGACGATGATTCTGACGTAAGCGACGTAGAAGAGGAAGCGCTGCATCTTCTACCTCCGGAGTTGGCAGAGTTGTTTAAAAGTGACACAGAGCATGAAGATTTCATTGGATTTCGTGATTTGGAGTTACGCTGATGGTTTGGTAAATTTGTTAGCATGTTCTATGTGCTATAGTTGTCTCAATAACTCTTAATATTTTACGTGACCATACCAGGCACATTCACAGTTCGTTGTTTAAGCGTCATGTAACGTTAGCATATTGTACACTTATTCAGCCTGTTGTTCTCTAGTTTTATTTTTATTTTAAATTGCCTTTCAAGATGACATGTATGTTTTTGGTTTTGGATTTGATCAAATAAATTTCCCCCAAAAATGCGACTTATACTCCAGTGCGAATTATATGTTTTTTCCTTCTTAATTATGCATTTTTTTGGCTGGTGCGATTTATAATCCGGAGCGATGTATAATCCGAAAAATACGGTATATGTGTCCCTACTAAATTACAATGATGGCCAAATGTCGACATCATTTAAATGCTAAATACAGATTCAGCGGCAAGTGACTTTTTTCTTGTAATATGTGCGCAACCACATAAGAGGCGTGATACAGTGAAGTCTGAGGGTGGTCCTAATTTCCAGACCGTAGAGCATTTGTGAGACATGAAAATTCCATAGAAATTCATTTTGAAAATATGGCACACTTTGATTTTTAAAGTAACTTGTGTCATGGAGGCGGAAGTTATTGTCAGTAATGCACGTGTGTGTGCGGCTCATTTAAAGGCTACTTTGAAGTAGTATGTGCTGTTGCACTACTCATATTTTAATGAATCCAAAAAGAGCAATTTAAACATCAGTGATGTTTAAATTGCACTTTACCCAGCACTGCACTGGGGTAAAGTGTAGTGCAGGACGAGTCCTGCAGCTGCCCCTCAGTGGTCTCACAGAAGAATTCAAGGTGATACGCACCAGAGAAGTCCTATAGTACAGCGACTCCATGAACTGCAAGGTGTCATCAGCCGGCATTGAGGTGAGGAGAGGAAGAAAATGGAAGGCTGGGAAAGCAGTGGAGGTGGCAGAGTAGGCTGTAGGGGTTTTGCAGGATGTTCTCTTTATAAAGTTCTCAGTTGTTTGAGCATTAGAGGGGCAGCCAAGAGGAAGGACATTCAACCCGCAAGCGAAGCCACAGAGAAGGCCATAAAGTGGCTTTGGATCAAGAGGGCTGATCCCTGGTTGGCTAGTGAGACGCAAGTCAGGATTGATCAAGCCCGGCTGCGTCACCTGGGCGAGACCCAAAACACACAATGTCCCCATCACTGAGGATGCGTCCCAGTGCATCCATGAGATGTTTCTAGTATAGTCCTATCACCACAAATTTCCACTTCATGCTTCATCTTTCAAGTGGGATTTGATGACGTATAGGTTGGATGTGTGCGGATTAGTCTTTATACTGTAGATGCATTGCATACATGTCCGATTTTTATTCACATACGAAAGAGACCCTGGCCGGATTTGAAAAAAAACAAAACAAAACCTGAAATCTACTGTTCACACTGCATGAAAAAAAATCTGATACGTGTTGCATATGGGAAAGAAAATCGGAATTGAACTGCAGTGTGAACGTAGCATAAGGCGCCCAGGACTCCAAACAGATCGAAACTCAAAAACGAAAAATTCGTACGTTCTTTTAAATAGTGAACGAGCAATGTGACTCTTCCTCAATAAATACTGAAATGTTGAGAGAACCAGTGTTGTATATTTCGGATTTAGGCATGGAATTAACGACAGATCCACCTCCAGCCTTTCCTCCTGAGGTAATAAAGAGAGTTTTGTCCTTTTAAAGGCCGTTCATTGATTTTCTTTTTTCGTCCCCTTTTGTGCCAAAGGTCAGTATATCATCTATAGAACACTGACTGCCAAGCACCACAACATGCACAATACCTGAGTGTTGTTCCTGCAAGTGTTTGGCACGCAGTGACAAAAATACAAATGAACAACACCACGGCAAAGATAAATTGATAAACTGGAATGATTTTAGGAAACAAACTCTTAGTTTCTTGCAAAAACACCTGTGCACCCCGCATGTCAAAGTGTCTGCTTTTTGTGTCCGATTGTCAAATCACCCAAGCCCACTTGTGTCTTGCTGAACATTGTCAAACAGGACCAAATTCAAGTAAGCTAAGAGGACAAGTGACGCTTTTGAAAAGAAGCATGCCATGAACATAACTGAAGATGAGAGAGAAATATTGAACAGAAGAGAGCATGTTAAGCCTCCCGCCCTTCGCAGTTCCACTCTCCGTGTGCGCATACTTATTCTTGCATATCAGAGGATACTATACTGCTCTTAGATGTTTTGATTTGCATTTAAAAGGGACGGGGCTGGCTTTACTGGACTCACATCGATGAGCTTGACTTGCTGGAATTAAAATACGTGTTTGGCTTTACCATATTTTGATTTACAGCTGATGATTCTTGGAAAGTGAGACCAGCATTCCAGTTCTCCCGGAATCATTCGCAGTTTAAAATTCTAGTTCTCAGTTTCGGTGGCTTGTCAAGCACTGACCCAAAGAAAAAACTTGCTCAGGCCAACGTAGAAGAAGTGCGCACACGGCGACGAACCCAAGGGAGGTTTAACTTGGTTCAGTTGAATAAATTGTTGCCTCACTTCATACATGATTATATCGTGCAAAGGAGGTTGTACGACATGTAGAAACTTTACCTTTACTTTACGAGCTTTAAGCTTCAACCGTCAGTACGCCTTACTTTAGTAAAGTCATAATTGGGTGTGTTAAACAATAAAAGGTCTATTGCCAAAATGAAGGCAGCTTTCAACTAAATGGTTGCTCGAATGTTACTCCCCAGCTAACAAGAGCATACTGTATATATTTTTTTATGCAAAGCGAGCGTGTGTTCTGTCTTTTGCAACACACAAATGTGTCCATATCGCGATATTATATTATATTATATTATATTATATTATATTATGCAACGAGCTGACTCGAGGTTGCTGAAATTCTTGACTTTGAGAGAGTGAAGCTAGACCCTCTCAGGGTTTCCTTCGTGTTTGTTTTGTATGTTTGTGCTTTTTCATTCATCACAGAGGGAACAAAGGGCTAAAGGAAGATGGGAATTTGATAAAACAGCACCAGTAAATAATAACCCAACAAACTTTGCCCGTAACTTTCTTGTCTCTATAGCAACAGATACAGGTAAGTTGGCTGTTTGTGTTTTCATGGCAGCTTTATTAACTACGGTACTCCAATCTAATCTCCTTAATCAATGTTTTTTTGTTTTTTTTTCCCCCAACTGCCAAAACACTTTTTTATTTAGCCAATCTTCCAGCTTTGAAAAGCTCTAAGTCGATATTGTCTTTCTGAGAATTAGTTGAATATATTGAGGGAAGCTTCAGCAGCGAATAGGAAGGATCTAAAACCTAGGGGACTCCTTTCCATTTTAATAAATAACCTTGCTCAGAGTGTCACTTCAATGTTGTCTCCAAATGAGATGGAAAAACACTTTCAGATGTGTGCACAAAAGAGTGGAGGCGTTAAATAGATGGAGCAATTTACAGCAGTAAATCTGATACTGAAATCATACTTCTTGTTAAGGTCTGTTTTTCAAATTATTTCACTCAGTCTCACAGTTGGCCTGTGTCAGTGTTTATCTAATTGCCACAGGTAACGGAGACAGCCACTCATTCTTTGTGTTGTGAAGCGGAGTCATGCTCAAAATACCGGTGTTCGCCTATGAATTGTAATACTTTAGTGGATACACTTGGCTGAAATGAGGCAAAAAGAAACTGGGTACCAACCTTGCTATCTTGCATTTGTTTCTCAGCAATGGCATATAAAGTAAGCCTTTGCTCGCTATTACCCCAAGTGTGGAAAATGAATCAAAGTTGACACGCGTTCCGATTTCCCGGGAGCCGGGGCCATGCGCAGCTGGCTTTGTCGGAACCCCGGAGGGTAGTGCTTGCCCCTGTGGTGCCCTGGAGGCAGGACACACCCTGCTGCTGCCCTACAGGCCACAAGATGTCTGGCAGCATAGGCCAAAGATGTACTGTAGGTGTGTGTGTGTGTGTGTGTGTGTGTGTGTGTGTGTGTGTGTGTGTGTGTGTGTGTGTGTGTGTGTATCGTGAACACGTGGAACTTTTGTGGACGTCTGCATTTTGACACACTCAAGAATAAATGACTCCACGCTGATGGAATACAATCCGTTTTTTTTTTTCCAAATCATGTAAAAATCATGTCTGACATGATTTGTTTTTTTAGTATACCGTATTTCACGACCATACAGCGCACCATATTAAAAGGCGTAGTGTCAGTTATGGGTGATTATTCTGTGTTTAACACATACACAAGACACATTTTATTATTATACGTGGACAATGGTTAAACATATGCTCACATAAAATACGAAGGTTAGATCCGAAGGTTGCTTAAACCTTGGGCTACCTTTCCAATACTTCGAAATAGGCTTTCTGAGATGACTGTAGGTGAGCCCTGCGGGATTGGAACACTGTCTGGCCCCCTTCTTGATGGACCGCCATCCCTGTCAGCTACTCAAATAACACACAAAAAGTATAATTGTGTTACCATCCATCCATCCATTTATCTCTCCGCAGTGTCGCAGGGGGTGCTGGAGCCTATCCCAGCTGTTTTCGGGCAGTAGGCGGGGGACACCCTGAACCAGTTGCTAGCCAATTGCAGGGCACACAGAGACGAACAACCATCCACGCTCACACTCACACCTTGGGACAATTTAGAGTGTTCCATTAACGAACCATGCATTTTTTTGGAATGTGGGAGGAATCTGGAGTACTCGGAGAAAACCCACGCAAGCACAGGGAGAACAGCACCTCTGCACTGTGAGGTCGACGCGCTAACCACTGGACCACTGGGCCGCCTGCCGTGTTACCATATATAAATAAATTCATACTAGACACTGGAATATTGCACTTGTAAATTCACAGCAGGAGTTTGTTTAGGTTTGGATTAGGCCTAATAAAGAGATTACTGATAGACTGATTCAAAATATAAGTAAATTGCCATAATCCTCCCCATTTTAGTTTACCCTTCATCTTAGTTGTTTTTCTCTCTCTCTCGCTCTCTGATACAATTTATTCTGTTGCCTTATAAGATTGGAACTGATGAAGAAATGCCCTTTGAAGTATAAGTTTTTCTCACAAGTATTAAACTGTTGTCAGACTCAAAATCAGTTACTCGTGGTTATTTCAAATGAAAAAAAATTCTCAATTCCAATTTGATCCCTTTTTAGGATTTCAAAATACTCATTGTTCTCTCCTCTCTGGGCAGCCTTTAGTTTAATGACGAGTCATGCTTGTAATTTCAGATATTTATTTCAATTAAATGTCATAATAAATTGTGTTTTAATACATTGTTTCTTACCTTAGCCTTCTTTGATTTCTTTACCGTATCTTCTCAACCACAAAACGCACATAAAAGTCTTCTTTTTTTAAATTCCAATGACTTTTATGGCCACTTTTACCACCTTGCCAATGTTTGCCTTGCTTTGGATGGTGAGCACCATTGCATTCCACAATTTTATTATTCACACCAAACAGTCTACCGGTAATTTGACGGAGGAAATATAATCCTTGCAATTGTTACTGAATAGTGAGGTGACCTGTTGGAATAAAATGTCTAAAAGGATATCATACCAGTACAGCATGCCACACATTTTTGAAGAGCAGGTGTTCTGGGAGTCTTGAGAAAATGTTTCGATTGTTTGCCCTGTCCAAGTCACTTTTTGCGGCAAACTGCCTCTGTTCACGAGTCATGTTTGTAATGCTTTTTGTTGAGTCACTTTTTTTTTTTTTTTTTTTAATTATCCATTTTATTGAAACTCTCAATTACGGCCGCATGTTTTTTTTCCTCGGGCCTTCTTCAGCATTTTTTTTAGGTTTCTTTTGCGTAAATGCCATCTCAGTATGGGTTTAATGGCCTGTTTCTTTTTTACAGACGCAGTCACTAACGTCCTTTGTAATGTGTGACTACTTATTGTTTCAGTAGTGGGCAACAACCTTTTTGGGAGCAGTGTTAAAACACCCTGTGTTCATCTTCAGAGGTTTTTATTAATTTCTTTTTTTGCTGTGCATTTTCTCCCTCCCATGTTGAGAGTGCATTTAGGCAACACTGCTCAATGGGTTGTCTCACTGCTCCTGTTCGATATCAACCGCGGGTATACAATAAAATGGTGTTTTGGTTGTTAATAAACATTCACTGCCATGTTGGGTCATCTCCCAACCCAGAGGTTTGATCCCCAGCCATTGTTACTATGTCTTCTACAGGATACTGACCCCCGAGTTCCTCCAGATGCTGCGTCATCAATAGGTGAAAGGAGGAAACTGTGTTTAGTGCTTTGAGTACCGAAAAGTGCCCCACAAGTGAAAGCCCGGTTACCATCTTCACAGATCGCCTGACTTTGCCGCGTCCAACATGGCCGCGAGGTTGTCGTATCATGTGGTATGTGGTCTAAGGTAATTCTCATTAAGGGCGCCATAAAAGAGTGTTGTGCCAGAGCTGCATTCATCAAGTATGGTATGGGATTGTCAAAAATATGAAGCAAAGCAAAGTATTGTCTGTCGGGTAGTAATGATAAAGGTACGGGTCTGCATAGACTTGCAGTGAAAGTTCAACGTTTGTCCTGTTTATTTTGTCATCACATGTACAAAGAGAGCAGCGCACTTCCAATCATATCACTTCAAGTTTCATTGTGTGGTACTCTTCCAATTTTTTTTCTGGTTAAAACCCATCAGCGCTGCCTCGAGCACAAAACTCACTTTGAAATACAACGTCCTTTACCACCTTTCTCTGTTGCCAACTGCATGTGCAATCATATCGAGCAGTGATTCCCAAACTTTTTGAATGAAGTACCACTTCAAAAAATACTTAGCTCTCCAAAGATCACCATAAAGGCCACAGTAATCTCTTACTGAGTAGCAGTTTTCAGCAAAACGAAGAAAGGGGTTTTAGTCTTACAATTGTTATTGTAAGCCATCGTGGTATTTGTACAGTTTCAATGCCAACATTGTGTTAGAGAAATGGAAATTTGATGATGGCAGTTGTGGTGTAATTTATCTTCTTGCAAAATGCTAACGAATCACATTTTTCCATTGATTAAAAAAAAAAAAACAATATCTGTCCTCTTTCTTTCTTTCTCTCTTTCTAACATTCATTCACTTTCCGGCTGAGAAACACACATCTCTCCATCAGGATAGTAAAGTCATATGCAAAGAAGAGATAAAAAGGCTCAAGAATGAGCGAGAGAAAGAAAAAAAGAACAGAGTGAGAGTCCTTTTGATGTTCTCGGCAGCACATCACAAAGTCAACTCAAAGGGTTTGTTAAAAATGCATGACATGAACACAAGTAGAAAATAAGCAATGAACTTTGAGAAATAAAGATCAAGTGATTTCATGCCTGCTCAGACTTCAAAGAATCACCGGGACTGGAGGAAAAGCGAATAGAGGAAGAAAAGTACATATCATCATTCCTTCTCTCTGAAAATGCAGACTAATTATCCTTTTGCTTGCACAGAGTGAGCTGGACAGAGTTGGGATCGTACCAATAAAGACAGCAAAACAGGTGTTATGGGTTATTTGAACTTTTAAAGGAAAATTTAGCCAAACACGGGGCTTGTATTCATTGAAGAGTCTGTTGGTGTTATAAATAAATCCTCCATGCCATTGGGAGTGCAACAGTGAAAGTCTGACTTTGCACTTCTGCAGTTCTGCAGTGCCACTTCAAAAGAAGCAGATCATTTATACGGAATATGCAACAGCAGCGATGCCAAAAATTATTCGCTCCGTGTATATATGTGTGTGGAGGTGGGGGGGTCATTAGCTGAAAGCCTGAGAGGAGTAAACAGTGGTGCGCTGTCATGGTCTGGAATGTCTAAACACAAACGAACAAATTTGAGTAAACGTTCCCAAATTCCGCGGTCTTAGTGCAACACGAATGGACTGAACGCTATGAACCAAAACTAGTTAATGCGAATTTCCACACAAATGAATAAGGTGGTGAAATGAATGACTGGTTCATGGCCATGGCGAAGGACTAATTTACTGCACTCCCAGAAAGACAGTGGTACTAAAACACACACGAGGGATAGAGGCTGACAAACACAACAAGATCACACACACAACATAGCCCAGCCCCAAGTACTGACAGGACACACAACAAGTATTTTTAAGGACTGCTCTCTTGTATATAAAATATGTCGCAGATTAGCTCTCTTCCACTCTGTAATCTGATACAATTTAGGTCTGCTGCAAGAGTTGTTACTCGAGTGGTTGCAAGAGGCGATTGAGAAACTCCTTAAAAAGGAACTTAATTTGGTCATGCATCCACCGATTCATTTTCTGATCCGCTTTTATCCTCACAAGGGTCGCGGGGCGTGCTGGAGTCTATCCCAGTTGTCTTCGGGCAGTAGGCGGGGGACACCCTGAACCGGTTGCCAGCCAATTGCAAGGCACACACAGACGAATAACCATCTGCACTCACACTCACACTGAGGGACAATTTTGAGTGTTCAATCAAGTTGCCATGCATGTTTTTGGAATGTGGGAGGAAACCAGAATGCCCGGAGAAAACCCACGCAGGCACTGGGAGAACATGCAAACTCCACACAGGAAGGCCGGAGCTGGAATCAAACCCTGCACCTCTGCACTGTGAGGCCGATGCGCTAACCACTGGGTCACCGGGCAACCTCATTTGGTAAAGTTTTGCGTTTTTTTTATTTTTTATTTTTTATTGAAATGCAGTCACATAAAACAAAAGAAAGTCCATCTCATACAATTTATTTAATTTGAAGAAATGGTTAAGTGATCACCAAATTTGTCAACATTTATACCTGAAGGGTGTGTATTC